TACGATATTTTAAAAAAATTGTATATTTTATTTTTGTTATAAATTTATTATTCGGGCATAGAAAATTTGTAAAGTTCTACTTTCAAGATTTATTAAAATTCAGAAATCATTATTCATTCCTTTTTTTTTTTTTTAGAAATTATTCTTTTAAGCTTCTCAACTTTGTTAAATGCCAAATGTTCTAATTTACTTGTTTGTCAGGCAAGTAATTTGCCAAGCTGTTAAAATTTTCCGTTCATTTCCGGAATCTGAATAGAGGAGGGGGATCAGACGTACTCAAGCAGCTCCTGAGAAATTCAGGCTGAATATTTCAACGGTTTAAAGGAATTGTGGAAGTTTGTGTAATCGATAATCTCTTGGGATGTGGATTTTGGATAAAGATTAAATTGACGATTCAAGGGACGACGGTCTGAGAATGCCATGGACCTCGATCAACATAGAGCTTCACCATGGTGTCTCATTTCGCTGTGCAAATATCAGGTGGTGTCACTTTGTTCCTGGTTATTTATTTTATAGAGAAACTTTTTGTCTTTTATTGAACGTGCCAGTCCTCCGTAGCAACTGGTGGACGGATCTCAGGGTTCTAATTTTCTCTGTTCAAAGGGACGTGCAGCTCTACAACCACTTTAGCAATGAATTCATTTCCAAACGACAAATGAAGCGTTCTCGTGAAATCAATAACGTTATGATAGCCGCACAATGATTAGTTTTCTGCGTAGTTGTAGAAGAAGTCAGAGCATTCTTGAATAAGCTTCACATGGTATTGATCTTGACTGGTTCAAAGAATGCTTCTTAATCTCCAGCAGGTTGCCAGTCTTTCTATCTCTTTATCGAAGAAATTTGTAGAATGTTTGAGAGTACAGGGTGCTGTTGGTGATCGTACAGCGTCGTGCTTTACTGGAACGAGGAAGGAGAATGTGGCAGAGCATCAGTGACGTATAGCGTGGTGGGGATGTCAGTGATGGCTCCGACCTAACACCCTCTGTTCAAGAACGATTATTTCACGTCTGCAGTCATTGGTACTAGTGTCACCATGGGGAACCAATAGAACCAAGAAGCCAAGGTGGAATCAATAAAATAGATAGACTCAATATTATCAATATATCAATATTATCAGCAGATTCAGTGAAGTTGGTGGAACCAGACATCCAAGTGGAGCTAGTGGCCCTAGTACTATCAATAGAACCAGTGAAACCAGTGGAACTAAGCCACCAGTACAACCAATCTAATCACTATTATCATCAATCCCAATGTAACCAATTCCATCGAAACCATCTAAACCAACACAACCAAGCGTAACTACCACAACCTTTACCCATCACTATCTCCACCACCACGTCCGTGCAGAGGGTGTATCGTCAGGGGTTGTCTCCGTGGTGGGGATGAGAAGCTTCTTGGTGGGGGTAGAGGGTCGGTCAAGGCGGATAGAAAAGGAACGAGGCGAGGGAGAGTGTAACCCCACGGCGCACCGCCACCCGTGTGTGTCGCACTAAAATGTGACTCTGGCCAGCAGCAGCCGGGAGCCGTGTGTGTCGAAAGAGCGAGAGAGAGAGAGAGAGAGAGAGAGAGCGAGAGAGAGCGAGAGAGCGTGCGCGCGCGAGAGAGAGAGAGAGAGAGAATCGTGTGTGCCGGAATTTTCGTTAGTTTAGAGACGTCGCGGTCGCGTTTTTGCCCGCGCTGCCGATCCGCCGGTGGCCACGACGTCGGAACACGAAGAAAGAGAAGCTCGAAGGATTTACTGGCCAAGCTCAAGAAACCTCTCTGGCAACCAAACATATCATTTTAACGTAGTTGCTGATCAACAGCGGGAGAAACAGCTAGACTAGATCAGACTAGAACGTCCTCAGTTGACGCTCAGACTGAATGGTGAAGAAGAAGAAGTGGCACGGGGCCCAGTGAACGGATAGGTGGGATGCAGTGTCTGTCCAGACTTGTCTGAGCAACCCCAGGCGAGCTTATATGCACGCTTAGACGGTATTCGAACCACTCCGATGACACCGATCACCATTCTGGATTAGTTTATCCTTCATACATTCCATTCCATCAGTGAACTGTGATTCCGTGTGCCGTGGACGCAGACGAGGCTGATCCTGAAGAAGATTTAGATCAGCTTTGGTGAGTACGCTACTTTGAATTTTATTCTTCTGATTAGATCGGCACCCTTTCAGAGTGATCTTTCGATCAGTCAGATCTCATTGTTCGAAGAGAGGATTTCAGGTGGTATACATACGTGTGAAAAGATACTTTAGAGAACGTGCGCGAAGATACTAGAGAGAAGAGGTATACTGTTTGAAGAGATTCTGTTGAGTGTGAGATTGTAGAAGCATTCGGGAAAGAGGTTCTGCTGCTGGTGTTCCTTTGTCGAGGCGTTCGGTGTTCTGAGAAGGTGGATTATATTTCTTACATTTGCCTTAGGGCGTTCAGAGCGGTAAACAAGCAAATAGATATCGGGAATTTGCTTCGGCAGGTGCTTAGGTACGTTTGGACAAATCTGACGTTCTTCTTTGTTCCATTTAGAGTGAACAATTTTACGATACAGTTAGATATCAGGTTTACTTCACGGAGAAACCAGTTCAGAGACACTTAATCAACTGGAACAATTGACCATGACACACAAGGAAGTTAGTTTACCGTGATTTTCCCTTAGTGTAGCTATAGAGCTATAGTTAACAGCGTATAGGGTGCTATTTCTCTTCGCTATGGTCCTTTTCATTGACGTTTCTTTATCATCAAAGCGGCGGGGAGGGTGAAGGAGCTGCGTACATCATTCTGGAACGAAGCAAGACCGGTAATTTGCGACAGACAGTTGCGTTGCATGATTCATAAGCAAGAGAGTGAGAGAGAAAGTGTGTAAAATCGAAGGAAGCTCGTTCCGTGAAATCGAGGGGGATGGAGTAAGATGGGTTAATGCAACAGACCCTGGAAGTTTTCTTAACACTTAAAGCGTCGGACCCCGCTTTAAGGAGTAATATGGACTAGGAATAGAGCGTCGGGTCTGCCTAAAAGGGTATTCATACGTTTGTGCAGAAAAAAAAATATATCTGTTGAAACCGCACGTGGTACACTGTTTATATCATCGAATAAAATAAAAAAAAAAAAGGAGAAAAATACATATTTCTATAAAACTCGTAAATATTGCAGCGCTTTAGGTAAAGTTTCCAACAAAATAGCCGGTGCTTCGAGTGGTAAGAGCAGGGAACAGAGTTAATGGAGGGATGCTACGAAGATACAATTTTCCTCTTCTGGAGACTATGAGCTTGCTTCACAGCCAATTCTGGATCAGTTTTTCGACAGAGGGAGCGAAGCTTCCTCACGAGGAACATTACAGGACTCTGTGCATCGACGAGGAATGACTGGAACAATTTTTCGAGGTGGTCTTTGGATTTTTTCAGCCTTCTATCGACGACTTTTTAAGTAGCAATCAAAACTCCAACGATATTTGGAAGTTATTATTATTTTGAAGACCTTTTATCGGTTATTAGATTAATTTTGGCTTTTAGAAAATTCTTCAGTGGTGATTAGATCAATATCGGTCCTTGGGAATAATTAGTCTTAGTTCATTGGTCCAGCTTTGGGTCTTAGAAAATTTTTAAAATATTTGCCAATAATGATTACACGACTGTTTCTTTTTGGAATATTTTTCAGTAGTCGTTAGATCAATATAGATCCTTGGAACATTTTTCATTGGTTATACAGACCAATGTTGCTCCTCGGAATATTAATCATAGGTGACTTCACCTTTTGGAAAATTATCAAAATATGCTCCACTGTTCCTCAAATAAATATTTCGCCTTGGAATATTTTTCAGCCGTTCTTGGATCAACATTGGCCTCCCGAATATCAATATTGATTCGTAGAACATTGATCACAGTTCGTTGAAAGCTCATATTTGCGTGTAGAATGTTAATCACGGGTTATCAGTATACCGAAGACAAGTTATGCGAACGTTCTTAGAAGAAACTGCCCCCCATGTTTAGGAGAGTGTGATACATGTTAATTCCAGATCTCGCCAGGGTCTCTGTACGAGGTTGGAATTAATTTTAGCCAGGTTTGTGCATGGACAGAGGTACAGAGCTGGAATGGTTCTGTTGCTCTCCAAGTTTCTGCTGCAGTTTCAGCTTTCAGCTGTGCATCATTTTGGTGGAAATTGTTCTGCACTCTGATGTGAAAGCACAAGACACGTCCAATTAATCTTCACTGTGTTTTAAGGACAGAGGGACTTGTCCTTTCGGTACAGAGATTAAAGAAGACTCACAAAGGATGCTTTGTTTCACTCATTCATAGGAGAGCCTAGGAAATATTCCATATGTTTAGATTCGCTTCGTACGAGATTAAATATTTTATTCTCAATTTGAATTCTATTCGTCTGTACATTCTTCAAGACAGTCTTTATAACGAAACACCGCTAAGCCTGATAACTATTTCAGTCTCCTTCGGTTCTCCTTACCTTCTACACTTTGTTCTACTAGAGACTATACACCGAGTTAGACTATAAATAATTAAAATCCTACCTTTTTACTACCAAGGAGAGACCTTCAAGCTTGTTTTCATTCAGTCAGGCAACACTTTGTCTTGTTTCTCTCAGAAGAAAACTTCAGAATCAATTATTACTCGACCTGATCACTATTTCGATCTTCTTGGATTCACCTTAGGTTCTCTTATACATATATAACCTTCTATATTTTATTCTACTTGACTATACACTATCCAGATTGCTTGTAACTTCATTTTTATTCTTGTACTTCAAGGAAAGACTTCCTACCACGTTTTAATTCAGTCAAACGTTATTCTACTTTATTTATTTCGACTGAAGAATGTGCTGTTACTGGGGCGAATCTCCTGGACCTACCTATGCTTGATTCTACTATCAGAATTCGTCATAGTTCACCCTAATCCTTCCGCTGGTGCACTCTACCGAAGGTTCCCTGCGATCCACCGTCGTCAAACTGTCTAGATCGGGCAAATAGTTAAGCCACACGTCGTAAACACGAAGGATCTGTCCTGAGACTGATCGTCGAGCGACGGAGGTGCGATAAAAACGACTCTGTGCACGCGACGCCAGTCTCCTCTTTATATGCTTCTCAATTCAGCATGATCAACTGGTAGCTTTTCAAATGGAAATTCCTCGACAACCCGAGAAACTTCAATTCTCGCTTTATTTTTACATTTCTATTATCGGATAACTGTGACTATCGCGTTCGAATTGTTCAAAATTGATCGACCTGATGCAGACCAAGATTTTTCACTGTGAAATTTCACGGTGTACAGCTATGGAAAGCATTTTATATGCTGCTTCGAGCTCTTAGGGGTGGAAATTATACTCACGGGGTTTGAAGAAATTTCCCATGGCGTTTGGATAGCCTTCGAGTTATGTTTCAAGCTATTCTGTTTACCAAGGGTTCTCTATCTAATTTATGGTATCATTGCGGAGGGGTTGTAGCGACTCTGGGGTGTTCACCCTAGCAGATTTCTCCAGATTCAGAATTTTTCGTGTGCTTAAGCGGTGTTCTGTCATGGATTAGACGAGTTTGGCTGACTTGGAGTGTGGAAGATTCGAATTTAGGCTATAAGATTGGAAATATGAAATTTATATTACAGAGAGTCCAAGTTCGTGACATCGAATGTTCTATGTAAGCTGCGAAAACTCTAAATTAATAATGCAATTGATAAACTCAACGTATAATAAATTACAATAGAAAATTTAGGGTGGAATAATTACAATGCAGAATTTAACGAAATAATTGCATATTTGCGCAATTAAGGAAACTTGCGTATCCTTGAAAAATCAGGATAATGTATGCAGAAATTCCGATCGCTCGTTGTGTACATACACAATGGAGGAAATTTTCATGCGAGATTCGAGCAAACTAAAAGGACAATTCCCATCGTTTGCCCCCTCACAGAAGAGAAAGCAAAGAAACGAAGAGTAACGTCTTTCTGCTTCGCAGTGAGCTGGAATGTGAAAACGAGAGCGAATAGGGGGTGAGAATATTGAGTTGGAGAGATAAAACGTTGCAGCGCAGTTTTCCTCGGAGAAACCCCGGCTCGTTCCCCTTAATACGACTCCGCGAACTGGTTCTTCTCGTTAAAAGGAAAAAAAAAAAAAAGAAGATGGAACGGCATGAAAGACTTATCAGGAGTGCTTCCTTCGTACAAAAGAAGAAGAATGAATAAAATAAAATCCGGCAAATTTTGTTGTTCCATTCTGTGCGTGTACAACAGCGTTCGCAATTTTGTTTTTCCAAACGATAACTCAGATCAAAGGGAAACGGGAGGAGGAGGGAAGCAAATGGTTATCGGTGAATCGAAGGTTGGTAGAAGCAACAAATTGGAATCATAATCTGCAAAGTGGAACGATAACGCGACGATTAAATTGGTCTGAGCGCCTCGCTTCGATTGTGAAAGAGACAAGATAGTTGAAACAATACGAATAGAGGACTCGTCACTGTGGTTCCATCAAATTTCGCGTTCGTACACCGTGCAGAAGCACAGATAGACTTCATTTTATATTATATTCTTTTATGCAAAGTCGCACATCAGAAGGGAAAATCCTCTTGGTGTTTTAATAAATTGAACACAGTGCTCGTTGAATACGAGAGTGTGGAATTTGCAAACATCAAAGATAGGAAAGATTGGGAGAAGAGAAGAGAAGCGAAAAGAAGAGAAGAAAAAGAGATTAGATTAGAAATCGAAGTGTAGAGGTTATGAAATTGAAGAGAAAGAAATGGTAAAATAACTCGAAGAGCATTCTAGAAATTTATATCTGTCTGGTATAACGTTAACAATCTCGCGTATCCTGCATTAATTGATTAATCTTGACGGTACAATAAAATGCTACGTTTCAAGATATGCAAAAGTCGTTTCATTGCCGCACACACATAAGGGAGAAAGAAATCCACGAGCTGTGTATGATGTTTCAGATAGCTTGACTGGCCTTCCTGGTAAATTGATCTTCAGTGGTCGCACCTAAGCTCTGCCCTCATACTTTTGGCCGATAGCGTATGTATGTGGCACGCGATTGTTCCGGTTTGCACGCTGGCCCATTGATATTCATGCCCCTACGCCCGGAACGTTTCGTTATTTTTCGCCTCGTTTTTTCCTCGGCGCTATCAAAG